CGGAATTGATTTTAGGTATTGCTCAACATGGACAGTTGTGTTTTTTTACAGAGACAACAAGGTGCAGGGCTGGATGAACACAGCAGGCCAAGCAGCATCATAGGAGCAGAATTTTACAGTCTTTCTGCTATCTGCTGACTGATACACAGTGGACTTCCTGCAAAAAACAGACCACAGGATAAGATATGGCACGTGCTGGTTGAAACGTATTATTTCCATGTTGCCTGAGTGTTTCATTTTCTTTCACAGTTTCAGTCTCAATGTACAACTGGTCTGTGATCTTTGGAAGTAAATACTTGGTGTGTACACTCCCTCCCAATGTGTACGTCCTCACTAACTCACACCAGCCACATATGATCACATCTGCCTCATCAACAGCCCCTTGGTGACAGAGGATACCCACAGAACCCAGAGGGCAAAAAGAATTTTTTAAAAATCCCTGTAACGCTTGAAAACCAGGAGCTCCATTTTGAGGTAGACCAGATGAATTAGGTCGGTATGGATCATTTGGAGTTTGACTGGTTTTTCTTCCTGGGAGTGCCTGACTGATAACACAAGCGTGGAGACAAGAGGTGCACAGCAGGCTGGATAAGGGAGACAACAGGAGACCACTGGACTGCTACAGACAAGGTTCTGCTGCTCAGACTGAGCAGTGCTGTCAGAAAGAGGATCCAGGATGGCTCCAGACCAGTCAACCCTGAGCAATTGATTATTAAGGGGGAGCAGGGTGGAGAGGCAGAAGTAGTTGCAGATGGGGTGAAATGGAAAGACCAAATGCCTTCTCTTCGGAGAGGAAGCTAAAACCGATGTTAAGGAAATAGATTCTGCAAATGCAGTGGTAAACAAATGGGGGTTTCTGTTCAGAGGAAGGGTCACCGGACCCGAAACGTTAACTTTGACTTTTATCTTCACAGATGCTGCCAGGCCTGCTAAGCTTTTCCAGCAACTTCTGTTTCAGGCCTGTATGCTGGACAGGAGGACACATGAGGATGTCTGTTAACCTCCTATTGCATGGAGGTAGGAGCTGAGGCAAGAAGGTTCGACTGGACTCCTGCACAGGTCAATATACACACACCGGCATTCGGACAGTCTCATGTGCTACAAAGATCAGCCTATTGGTAACCTCGCAAATAGGGCTGGTCATTGTGTCAAGCTTGACACCGAGATGGGGATCTCAAAACTACCCTGCGTGATAACAGATACCCTGCTTAAACTCATCACTTATATACCACAAACACGTGAAAGGGCCCAGTCCACCTCAGGTTACCCTGGCTGGAGAAAGCAGCTCAGAAATGTGGACACAGGTGAAGCCAGCTGTGTCATACTGCCACCATGTAGCAAATCCATAAGTGGTTTCTTTTTCCAATAAACATGCTGTTAGCCGTTAGTCAAGCCAACAAAAACCTTTTGTACACCACACAAGACATGAGTTGTGCTGCCATGTATGTAGGCTGTACTTCCCAATGAGTGGCAGACCCTATCAAGCACTGACCATTCACAGGCCACATGTGCTAAACCAGCCTGTGCACCACCACTGGATAGAATTGTGTGATTGGAAATCACTTCTACAATAACCAAATTGTGCTAAGAGTTATACCAGAAAACGATAAAGAAGCCGTCAAAAAGCACAGCGGGGAGCACTTCAGAGACCCCCTCAAGCACGGCTCTGTCGTTGATCTGAGCGTTTTTGAATGCATCCCACAGCATAGTACACCCCATGGGCTCAGGGACACCACAGCCTTGCATGATGTACAGAAGGTCATCCACCAGCTTAAGCTGCTGGAGCAGATGGTATCCTCGCTGAGGCACTGAAGTGCGGAGGCAAAGAGATCCTGCTGCAGCTACGCACCCTGTCTGCCTTATCTGGAAGGAGGACAGCATGCCAGGAGAGCGCTGAGGTGCTACAGTCGTGAGTATTTACGAAAAATGGAACAAGTCCGACTATGGTAACTCCAGGGGAATCTCCCTGCTGTCATCGCCAAGGACCTCCTCAACTGTCTCCTCCCTGTGAGTGAGGAAATCGTCCCGGGGTCACAGTGTGGCTTTCGGCCATGGAGGGGCACAACGAACACAACTTTCACTGTGCAACAGCTGCAGGGGAAACATAGAGAAAAGAACCTGTACGTGTCCACCTTCGACCTTACAAAGGCCTTTGACACGGTCAATCAGGAAGTATAATGGAGCATCCTTCTCCACTTTGGCTGGGCCATGACGTTTATCACCATCGTTCGCCTGGCATTGGAAATGGCTCCAGCACCGAGCATTCCCCACTCCAACTGGTGTCAGGCAGGGCTGCGTCCTCACCCCCAACACTGTTCTTGATCTACCTCACTGCAATGCTTCACCTCACCACCAGCAGGCTCCCCGCTGGAGTGGAGCTGACTTACACAGCCTGTAGGAAATTATTCTACCTCCACTGCCTTTAAGACAAAATCAAAGTCACTCCAAACAGTTTCATCGAGCTGCAGTACGCAGATGGTGCTTGTGTATGTGCAATCTCTGAGGATGTACTCCAGACCATCGTCAGCACCTTTACAGATGCACAAGAGTGTATGGGTCTCACCCAGAACATCTGCAAGATGAAGGTCCTCCACCAACCTGGCCATGCCGTTATGGAGCAAAACCCCCAGTCATCAAGGTCCAAGGGGAGGCCTGAGAGAACATTGGCCGCTTGCAACACCTTGGGAGTGTCCTGTCAGCTATTGATGAAGAAATCCAGCAGTTGCGCCACTCCCAGCTTCAAAATGGCCGGCAAGCCTCAGGTGGACAGAGGAAGTGTTTCAGTGATACCCACAAGGCCTCACTGGCAAAGTGCGACATTCCCATAGACACCTGGGAATCACTGACCCGAGGCCATCCAAAGTAGGAACATCCGGGGAGGCATCAGGACATGCCATCAGGGAAAAGTGGAAGCCGGGTGAAAACAGTAAAAGGAGCGTGCTGCCACACCAACACCCTGCCCACCCCTTCCCATGACACCACCTGCCCCAAGTGTAACAGAGCCTCCGGTAACCATATTGGACCATGCAGCCACCTACAGACACACCCTGTGAGGCACTGCTGACAATGATGATGATGACCAGAAACCGATTTAAGATCATCAGCCAGGACTTGGTGCTTGAAGCTACATACATAACCTCTCAGGACACTGTCTTCTGTCTTCTACCTTCAAGCCAGTTCTGTATCCAAATGGCCAGTTCTCCCTGTATTCCGTGCGATCTAACCTTGCTAACCAGGCTACCATGAGGAACCTTGACAAAAGCCTTACTGAAGTCCACATGGATCACATTCACTGCTCTGCGACATTGTTGTGTGGGGAAATTCTCACGATACAGGCAGAGGGTCCACCTACCTCGGCCAAAATGCCGTCAATGATGGGAAGAGGCCATTCATTTTCTACTGAAGAGGCCAGTGGGCAGCATGGCTATCCTACACCCTTCCCAAACGCTGGCACAATGCCACAGCAGCATAAAAGTGACAGGCACCTCACCCTCTGTCTTCCCATACTATTCCCAACTGCACCCTTCCCCCTCAATCAGCCCCTGTCTCTGGAGATGTGGTAAAACCCAATTCCTTCTGATTAATTTCTCTTCTGGTTATTCATGACCTGCTCCAAGTGGCAGACCAATTACATCAGTAGAATGACCACCTTGTTTCCTGCAATTCATTTTTAACAAGAGGTGTTTGGAGCAGGACACATTGCACTGAAGTGCAAAGAGACTTGGGAGTTCTAGTCCAGGATTCTCTGTTGGGAAGGTGCTTCCATTGGTAGGAGAGACTAGGACCCAAGGGCACAGCCTTAGAGTAAAGGGAAGACCTTTTAGAATGGAGATAAGGAGAAACCTCTCAGCCAGAGAGTGGTGAATCCATGGAATTCACTGCCACAGAAGGCTGTGGAGGCCAGGTCACTGAGTACATTTAAGACTGAGATAGATAGGTTCTTGATTATCAAGGGAATCAAGGGTTATGGGGAGAAAGCGGGAGAATGGGGTTGAGGAACTTATCAGCCATGATTGAATGGCGAAGCAGACTCGATGGGCCGAATGACCTAATTTCTGCTCCTATGTCTTATGGTCTTACGTTGCAGTAACAAGCAGAGTGGCAAGGCGATGTAACATGGGCTAGCACATACTTAGAGGGCAAAGTGTGACGTATATGCAATACATTATACTGAAGAGCACTGTGTTGAAAGCAAGGAGACAGTAAATGGCTATTCTTCACTGATGTAAGGGTGATGCTGTATCCAATTTTGTGCAACATAACTTTGCTCATTGTATCTAGTTGATGATTCTCGCTCTATCTAAATTACAATGACTGCACTTCATCAGTTGTAAAGATCTTCCAGATATTCTGCAGTTGTCAAAGGCTCTGTATTATTGCACACTCTCCTTAAGAGGAGATGAGAGGGTGAAGTCAGCACAGGCAAGCAGGTAACTGGACAATGCAACATTCTTTTTGCAAATTCACACAAGGCATAAGCAAATAGGAATAGCGTGGTCAAAAAGCTTTGGACAAATCTTTTTTGTTATTCGACAAATGTACAAAATGTTGTTAGAGAATCACAGAATTGTCACTGCGCAGGTGGTGGTCATTCGGCCCATCAATTCTATGACGTAGTAGCAAACTCCTGCCTTTTTCTCTATATCTCTACACACCATTTCTATTTAAATAACCATCCAATACCCTCTTGAATGATGCTGCCACACTTAAAGGCGGTGCGTTCCATACTCACTGCGTGAAAAGGTTTTTTCTCACATCACCCCTTCTTTCCACATCATTTTAGAGTCTATGCACTCCTATTCGTGTCCTTTGTACAAGCAGAAACAGCTTCTTCCCATCTACTCTATCCAGCCTGCTCATGATTGACAACCTCTCTCAAATCTCCTCCCAGCTTTCTTCTCTCTGAGGGGAACACACCCAAAGGAGAGTGCAATCAAACTTACTTTATTGTGGGCTTTTGCTTTATTCTGTTTGTTTAAAATAAAAATGTCTTTGTGGAGCACTTGTTGAAAATGGCAGTGTCCTCCAAACAGATCAAGGGAACTTTCCAACGTGCAGTATGTCCAGCTATATTTCTCACAACAGCAGCTCATGTCAGACAGACTTTATTGACTGGCACGACTTCTAAAATGTTTTGAGGTTTTGAATGATGCTCTACAAATCTGAGCTTTTCCATCTTCTTATTGTCAGAAAGATGGTTGAAGTGAAACAAAATCCGAAGAACTGTGGATTCTGGAAATCCGAAACAGAAACAGAAATGTGCTGAAGATACTCAACAGGTCTGGCATCATCTGTGGAGAGAAATCAGAGTTAATGTTTCAGGTCCAGTGATGGTGGATCAGTGGTTAGCACTGCTGCCTCACAGCCCCAGGTTCAATTCCAGCTTTGGGCGACTGTCTGTGTGGAGTTTGCACATTCTCACCGTGTCTGTGTGGGCTTCCTCCGGGTGCTCCAGTTTCCTCCCACGCTCCAAAGATGTGCAGGCTAGGTGGATTGGCCATGTTAAATTGTCCTGTAGTGACCAAGAATGTGTAGATTAAGTGGATCAGCCATGGGAAAAATGCAGGGTTACAGGGAAAGGGTAGGCACCTGGGAGGATGCTGTTCAGAGGGGCAGTGTGGACTCAATGGGCCAAATGGCTTCTTTCCACCCTGTAGGGATCCTATAACCCTTCCTCAGAACTGAAATGGTTGAAATGAAACAGGTTTAAATGAACAAAAAAAAAAAAATCACTGGCCTAAGATAGATTTGAGGGACGGGCAAAAGGCCATTCTGCCCATCAAGCTGATTTCCAGAAGGGAGGTGAGAGTGACTGACAATGACACCAAGGTACACTTGACCAAGAGTGGCATCGCGGAGCCCTACCAAAAGTGGAGGCAATTTGGAATAAAGGGGAAAAATGTTCACTGGTTGGGGTCCTATCTGGCATGAAGGAAGACGGTTATGGTTGTTGGAGGTCAGTCATCTCTGCATGAGTTCCTCAGGGTAGTGGCCTCAGCCCAACCATTTTCAGCTGCTTCACAATGAACTTCCCTCCGTTAGAAGTGGGGATGTTGCCAATGATGGCACAGTGCTCAGCATCATTCACCACTCCTCAGATGCCGAAACAGTCCACATTCAAATGCAACAAGATCTGGCCAACATCCAGGCTTGGGCTGACAAGTGGCAAGTAACATTCATGACGTACAGTGCCAGGCAATGGTCATCTCCAACAAAAGAGAGAATCTAACCACTGCCCCTTGACATTTGTTGAATCTCCCGCTGTCAACATTGACCAGAAATTAAACTGGACTAGCCATCTAAGTACTGTGACTATAACAGCAGGTCTGAGGTTGGGAACGTTGCAATCAGTAACTCACCTCCTGACTCTCCAAAGCCTGCCCACCATCTACAAGGCACAAATCAGGAGTGTGATGGAATGCTCCCAACTTATCCTGGATAGGTGCAGCTCCAACAATACTCAAGAAAATTTTTCTGAAGAAGGGTCCTGACCCAAAACATCAGCTTTCCTGCTCCTCTGATGCTGCTTGGCCTGCTGTGTTCATCCAGCTCTACACCTTGTTATCTCAGATTCTCCAGCATTGGCAGTTCCGACTGTCTCTCACTCAAGAAACTTGACACCATCCAGGACACTGCAGCCGTTTGACTGGCACTACATCCACGCCCTTCATCACCAATGTTCATTGGAAGCAATGTGTATTATCTACAAGATGCACTGCAGAAATTCACCAAGGCTCCTTCAGCTCCACCTTCCAAACAACAACCACTTCCAACTTGAAGGACAAGGGCAGCAGATACATGGGAACACCACCACCACCTACAAATTCCCTTCCAAGCCACTCACCGTCCTGACTTGGAAAGATATCGCCATCCCTCCACCGTTGCTGAGTCAAAATCCTGAAACTCCCTCATTAATGGCATTGCGGGGCTACATGCAGCATATATAGTTCAAGAAGAGCTCACTACCACCTTCTCAAGGGCAACTAGGGATAAACAATAAATGTTGGCCCAGCCAGCAATGCCCACATCCTGAGACTGAATAAAAAAAGCAACTATGTGTGAAATAAAGTTGTGTTTCAGAAGACACTAATGTTATCAATGTAAGCAACAGGGTTTAATTTTAACTCTGGTGTGTTATGATTGAGTTAAATCTTGGCTAGAGTGTATGTATTGTAAATATCTGGCAAAATATCTATATTCTGTATTGCAGTATCTAAATTCAAACTGAAATTTGTGTTTATAAATGACAGCTTCATACACATTTTTTGATTATATTTGGACTACGTGGAGTTTTTTAATTCATTCACACAATGCGGTATTGTTGGCTGGGTCACATTTCTTGGCCATCCCTAATTTCCCTGGAGAGCTTGATGGTGAGTTGCCTTCATAAACTGCTGCAGCCCCTGGGGTGTAGAGACGCTCTGGGCTGTTAGGAAGGGAACCCCTTTATTGTATAGAACAGAAGAAAAGTTCAAAACAAAAATCTTCAGAACTGAAGTGTCGTTAGCGTTAACTCTGCTTTCTCTCTCTACAGATGCTACCAGACTGCAGAGTTGCACCAGCAATTTCTGTTTTTGTCTCAGGTTTCCAGCATCCACAGTTCCTTGTTTTAAGAAAAGTTCGAATCCTAGTTGGTGATTTACCCTTTGATGCAGCAATATAGAAAGCAGTTTGTGTTTTTCTACATTGTCGTGCGGTCTGCCATAAATCTCTTGCCCCTCCACTTCATATTCTCCTTTAAGACCCTCTTTAAAACATATATCTAGAGCACGTTTTTAGGACAGCCCTCCTTATATCTCCTTCGGTAACTCAACGTCCATTTATTTCTGTGAAGGTAATGGTTCAGAAACATCAGTCCCAGGGACAGACTCCCTACCTAAATGCGCAATGAGAACCTTTTCACCACGTGGATCGTGGCTCAAGAGATGGAACGTAGGAATTGGAATAGGCCATTCAGCCCATCAAACCTGCTCCACCATTCAGTACGATCGTAGCTGAATGTACATATCAATATCTTTCATTCACTTCATCCTCTCAGATTTCTGATAACCAGTGGAGGACAGGGCTATCAATCTCTAACTTAAAACATACTTAAAGACTGAGCTTCCACCAATATCTGTGGTAGAGAATTCCAGAAGTTCACAACCTTCCTGAGTAAAAACTTCATATTTTGGATCTAAAGGGGCTTTGCCTTATTTTGTAAATTGGCCTCCCCAATGAGGGGAAACATCTTCCTTGCACCTGCTCTGTCTATTTATCTAAGTGTCTTGTATTTTTCAAATGAGATGACCTATAGAATACAGGCTCAGTCTGTGCAATCTCCCAGCCTCAGAACAAATCTGGTAAAACTGCATCCTCTATGGCAATGATACCTTTCCTGAGATAAGGAGACCAAAACTGCACAAAGCGATCCAAGTTTGGTCTAACTTATCTCCAATACAATTGAATATTCCTGCACTCTTCTGATAAAGACCAACTTTCCATTAGCCTTCCTAATAGCTCACTGCACTTGTATGTTAGACTTCAGTGACTTATCAATAAAGATACCCAAGCCCTCTGTGCATCTACACTTTCCAACCTTTTCCCATTTAAGAAATACTCAGCACGTTGGTTTCTCCTACCAAAGTGGATAACTCACATCTTTCCCCACATTGTGTTAAGATGGCACTGTGCCACCCCAAGGACATTTGGGAATAGACAATAAATACCGTCCATGCCAGCAATGCCCACAGCCAATGGAGAAAGAATACTCTGTCCTTGTATACGAAAGCAGACATTTCCTTTCGAATAAATTGCTGGAAATACTCAGCCGGTCAGGCAAAATTTGTGGAGAAAGTAAGTGTTAGCTCATATATACTCTTCAGAACTGTCCCTTAAAAGGAGACACATTTGAAAAATGTTAACTCTGTTTCTGTCTCCATAGTTGCTGCCAGTTTTGCTGAGTATTGGCAACACTTTGTTTTTATTCCAGATACTTGGCATCCTCTGTATTTAACTTTTATTACCCAATTCATTTGTGTTTTCACTCTACTAAACCATAAAAGAATTAATTTATTAAGAATTGGACAAAGAATGGTTCAGTCTTAAAGGCTGTTAAATCCCAATCACAATTTTCAATTCATTACTGCAGTGAACAGTCCAGACCTTTCATATCTTCAGAAGAAAAAAACTAATTAATAACGTTTCCTGCTGATGCAAATCTCACCCACTTTGGGAGAAAATAATAGGAGAAAGTAATTATTTTTGAAGCTTTAATTGTCTGACAATTAATTCACACCAGATACATTTTGAGGCGAGGTTGTAGAAGAGAGATAATGATCATTAATTTTAAGGTCATTTTTATGCATATCTTCCACAGCATTACAATGGCCTTGGTGAATTAAAGTTTTAAAATTCTGATGAGGCCAAAGTTGCATATTACAAAATTTCAAAATGAAAACTTTGGCTGACAGGGTGCTCTTCTGCAATACGCACTCCTGGCAGGCAACAAAGGAACAACATGAGACAAATTTCCCCCATCCCAATCAGATACCTTGTGTGAAATGCTCCCCCTGTAAACTTTGTGCTTTAATCCAGATAACCAAGTGGTGACGGGTAGAACTGGAGCCAATCTATCCACACTTATCAGCTTTTATTTACAGAGATACAAACTACATACAAACACCTCCGAACCCAATCAGCGCAGTTTCAGTCAGCTCTGTGGTGTGAAGCACAAGTGATTTCCCCACTTAGTGCACACTATTAAAAATGTACAAATAGCAGCAATAACAGTCTCTGGACAGGTTGATTAGAAAATCTCTAGCAAGAATTGTGGTGCAGTGGTAGTGTCGCTACCTCTGGACTGAGAGACCCACGTTCAAGTCCCACTGCTGCAGAGGAATGTCATTATATCTCTGAACAGGTTAATTTGAAAAATAGATTAAACAATTTAAAAAAAAAAAAAAGTTATCAAGAATAACAGAGGGACTGTTGTGGCTCAGTGGTAATGTTCCAACCTCTGAGACAGAAATCCAGGGTTCAAATCCCACCTGCTCCAGCAGTGCATAATAACATCTCTTAATAGCTTGAACTTTCAAAAAAAAACAGAAATAATAACAAAGAATGTTTGGAAGCTCTCAGTAGGTTTGGCAGCATCTTTGGAGAGAGGAAATCCGAGCTGATATTTCAGGTTTGTGACCTCTCATTAGAACTGGGCAACGTTTGAAATGTGTTAGATTTTGGCAGAGAGTGTGATAAGGACAAAAGGAAAGTCTGCAATAGAGTGAAAGGCAGGAGATAAACCTCAAGGGCCAGAGTGAACAGAGACAGGGAAAGAAGAGAAACAAGAGATGTGCCTAAAGCAGGTGTGCAGCAGAAAGGTGTAACAAAATTAATAAGTAACAGTCGGTCGAATTTAATTAAAAGTTGGCAGTTGCTTAAATAAAGATTTGTTTTATTTTCAATTGGATTGAAGATGATTGCCATTTGTCAGTTCACATACACTGTCAGGATAGATGTGGTACCTACAACTGTGAGAGGATTGCCTGTCGACATGTCCAAGTCACCAAGACTTCCGGGATTACCGATTGTGATTGATTGTATTCCTGGAGGATTCGTCACCCAATGTGCCCCTAGCACCAGACAGTGGTTGGCCAACACACCCACCCTTGTGGCACACTGCCTTTTGACACCAATTGGAAAGCAAGATGACTCATTACCCAATTCAAAGATGCTCAAATATCAGTCAAACAGCTTTTTCTCCCCCCGCCCAACCTCCCCAATTCCAATATCTGGTCAACAGAAATGTTCAAAGAAAAATGACAAAAAAATGTCAGTCTTTTTAAATATCCCTGTGACTTTTTTTCAGGGTTTTACGTAGCAATGTTCCCCGGAGGTGGATTTTAGATTCTTGGAGATTCCAGGCTAATCCCGTTGGGTTAACAACCCAACTGGTTTGGGTGACCTACAGGGAACAGAGTGGGAAGAAATGGGTCTTTTAACGAGGGGCAGGCAGTCATTAGAGGGGGTCTTCAGGGTTCAGGGCTTGGGTCATAGCTATTCATAATATATATATATATATATAAATGACAAGGATGAGAGAACCAAATACAACATTTCCAAGTTTGATGACTACAAAACCTGGTAGGATTGAGAATTGTGAGGAGGATGCAAGGAGGCTTCAAGGTGATTTAGACAAGTTGAGTGAGTGAGCAAACACATGGCAGATGCAGTACAGCATCGCCAAATGTGAAAATATATGCTTCAGTGCAACACACAAAGGAAAAGTATTATTTAAATGGTGATATATTGGGAAGTGTGGATGTACAAAGGGATCCGGGAGTCCTTATACACTAGTTAATGAAAATGGACAGGCAGATGCAGCAAGTTGTTAGGAAGGCCAATGATACATTGGCTTGCGTTGCAAGAGCATTTGAAGTAAACATGTCTTACTGAATTCCTACAGTGTGAAAGCAGGCCATTCTTCCCATCAACACCACACCAACCCTCTGAAGAGCATCCCACCCAGACCCACCCACCACCCCATCCCTGTAACCCTGCATTTCCAATGACTAATCCAAAAGGCCTTGGTGAAACCACACCTGGAGTATTGCACAATCTCCCTACCCAAGAACAGATATACTTACCATACAGGAGTGCAGTGGACATTCATGAGGCTAATACCAGGACTGGATGCAGGGATGATATTTTCCCTGGTTGAGGAGTCTAGAACTTGAGAACTCGGTCTTGGGTAGGATTGAAAATGAGGAGACTCAGAGGGTGGTCAATCTGTGGAATTCTCTACCACAGACAGCTGTGGAGGCCAAATCATTGAATATATTTAAGTAACACATTGATGCCTTTAATATCAAAATTTTATCAATGAGTGTGGGGAGAAAGGGAGAATAAGAGATAGAAGATTGGCCATGAATGGTGGAGCAGCCTTGAAGGGCTGAATGGCCGACTCCTGTTCCTAGTTTCTACACTCACCGAGTTCCCCACTGAGCCTAAACAGTTAGTCAAGTTGAAATGTCAATGTCCAATCAATTAAAAGACCCACTGAACTGCTTGTCTCTTGCTTGTCAGCCTTTCCCAGATGTTATCTCAAGCTAAATGTTCTACGTAGCAGAGAGAACGTCAAAGTTCCTCAGAGTTCCCACGCAAGAGTCTATCATGAGCAGAAAAGCCAAGTGTTTACTGAGTTACATGCTGCACCTTCGATTCATTGCCTCATTACAACACTTTAAAAAGGGGAGAGTGTTTATGTTGCAGTTTCAAGGGGGGAAGCATTACTGTGATGAAATACTGGAGAATGTGATCATTCTGTTAAAATTGGACCCAAAATATTTGAGGATTGCACAGAATTCTCAGGGAACCAGCACAGTAGCACTTCTAACTATTAAAAATTCTGCTACTCAAAGGCTTTCTCCACCTTTTCCTTTCGCTTTCAAATCAATAAATCCAGCTCAGGTTCAACTCCATCAATAAACATAAGGCGCAGGAGGCTTTAAATCCTTGAACAAATAATTCCAAGCAATGAGGGTATGAATGGAAATGCAGTTTTAGACAGCTGAAATGTGTTTGCACTGCAGAAGAGGAATGTTTAGGTTCACCTTTCCTTTTAATAAATATTTCATTCAAGCTTCCTCTGGCTACGAACCAGCAGTCTACTACTGAATAGCAAGTGCGAGGCAATGCAAGCCCCATCAACCCTCAGTCATAGAGAAATACAGCATGGAAACAGACCTTTCAGCCCAACTCGTCCAAAGTTTCCCCGAAATAAATTAGTCCCGTTTGCCTACATTTGGCCCGTATCCCTCTAAACATTTCCTATTCATGTACCTGTCCAAATATGATTGACTCCAACTCCAGGAGGTGATGAGTTCTGTGTGAAGTCTTGTTAACACAGGGGCCAAATCCTGAGCTGACTCTTTGGAACAAACATCTGTTAAACAAAGGTTTAAGGTGTTCAAAGCCAAGGCAGAGAGCTGGAGATAAGATACAGATCAATTGTGATCTAACTGAGTAACAGTCTGACAGGACTGTATGGCATCCCCCTGTCCCTCTGATGTCCACCAAGGTTTGAGTACTCAACTGCACGCCATCTTAGAGCGCTTTTTTTAAAAAAATTGTCACCTTCATTTGTTTCTTGCCAAACAAGTAAGCCTTAAGTGGAGGAATTTTCACACCCCAGAATATTTACTCCAATGAGGTGAATTGAGTTGCTGTGGAAGCTGTGTTGAGCATTAAACCCAGCAAGGATGAGTGGGTCAAAAAGGTAAATAAGAATGATCTTTCTATGCAGGAACACACATAAATAGATCTCGTCCCTCCCGTTTGTACCTCACATTTTATACAAAGCCATCTTTTAGGCATCATATATTATACGTGTATGTTTTTCATTTGATTTGTTCACCTTGTACCTTTTCCTGTCCTCCCACAAACTCTGCCCCACTACCACCCCCACACCATTATGGGCGGTCTTCTTGTGAACCTCTCCTGGACTCCTCCAAGGCCAACACATCTTTCCTTGGATATAGGGCCCAAAACCGCTCACAATATTTGAAATGGGTCTGACCAGAGCCTTACCCAGCCTCAGAAGTACATCCCCACTCTTGTATTCTCGCCATCTTGAAAAGAATGCTAACATTGCATTAAAGCTAGGTGAGCCAACCTCCCGATAGACCTTTTTTTTTTCTTTATTCACTGGCGTCACTGGCCAGGCATCATTTATTGCCCATTGCTGTGGGTCTGGAGTCACATATAGGCCAGACCAGGTAAGGATGGCAGTTTCCTTCCCTAAAGGACATTAGTGAACCAGTTGGGTTTTTTTCCCCCAACAATCGGCAATGGATTCATGGCCATCACCAGATTATTAATTCCAGATATTTTATTGAAATCAAATTCCACCATCTGCTGTGGCAGGATTCAAACCCCGGTCCTCAGAACATTATCTGGGTCTCTGGATTAACAGTCCAGCAATAATACCACTAGGCCATCGCCTCCCCTCTGAGAACTTAACATCAAAGCTTTAGCCTCCCATCAGGAAACTGAATCTTTTGCCTCCCTCCCAACAATTCACCCTTAAAAACCATGTGTAGGCCTGGAAGATTCTGTCTATTATCTATGTCTCTGTGAGGACCCTGTCAGCATTTAAAAAACAGGTGACCCCATCTCTCTCTCTCTCTTTCGGAGAGGAAGCAGCTCCAGCCCATTCAGTTTTTCAGAATGAATCAGAATATATAACTTAAAAATTACTTTAAAAACATAAATAATAATTTATTTAAAGCTTAGGCTGCCATAACCAAAAGATAATCATTTCTTGACGTTGCTGTCTGCAGTATGGTGTCAGTGTAGCACCGTTTAAAAATATTCCCCCAAGCACTTTGCATCCAAGTTTAAAGAAAGGGTTGAGTCAGGCACTTGGCTCAAAGCCTCTAATGAAAACATACATACATAACTTTTGCTGAATGAAGCAAACCCGTAATTTAATATGCAGCCAGGCTTGTGTCTCTGCCATATAAATAGTGTAATTTAGACTACACAGTTGCCTATTGATGGGGTGCTGGTGAGTGTGTACAATGTGGCTGCTTCATGTGTGGATTTTCTTTCTGTATCTTACATAAAATGAGCCCTGCAAGAGTTTTGTAACCATTCCCTTCCACTTACTGCACTAAAATCTTCATTTCCAGACAACATGCTGAATGTATCTACAAATCAGTAAGGTCCATGCATAGTTCAGTCTACTCCTGACCCTTCAATTTCTATCATGCAAAAGTACCCATTACAGTACATTTCTATTCTATTCTATTCACTGCCTTGTTTCTTACTGATGAAAGCTTTTGGAATATAATATTTAATTAAGATATTTTTCTTTACTGCTATTGACCATGAGTACACTTTAGGCAGAGTTTTTAAAACTTAGATTGTGCTCAAATTTGTGTTAGTTTTCAGATTGTTGTTTGCTTAATGCTGGACTTTTTACTTCTCTATTATTCTAAGAAACGTAAACGAAGAAGTTATACCTAGGAACCTTGTGCCTAAGATGGTGTCATAAGCAGTCACTTATACATTTTTCACTCATTTGAGTATGTGACAATAAAGCTAATTCTAATGTGAAACATTCCAGGTATCAGTGCAGCCCAGCAGCAATTTTGAATACATTTTCAGGAAATATTTAGATTAAAATGATTTTTTTGACATATTTAAGAGTGGTGTCTCATGTTAAGGATAATAGCCTAATAATCAGTGCTTGACTAGGATAAATTACCACCTTGAGTTAGTTCAAAGAGTAAAGCATATTGTAAAAGCCATGGAGCAGTCATTACAGCAAGCTAACTGATTTCCACATGTTGCAGTTTGCACACCCATGGAAGATTAATGAGCAGGCAGAGTCACAACATTGTATACACAAAGCACACAGCGTCCTTAAAGACAAGGTATACATGCAACAGTAATATCCTGCAGCTTCATTAATACCATAATCAAGTAAATATCAGCTGTGTTTTAGTGGATAGCACCGTTACCTCTGAGTCAGGTGTACGTTAAAGTTGTATTGCAGAGATCAAGGTGCGAAGATTCAATCTGAGACCCCAGTGTAATAAAGGAGGGCTGTGCTAACACTGTTGCTGTCTTTTGTATGAGAGGCCCTGCCTGTCCCCTTAGTTGGATCCAGGGATCATTTTGAAGGTCAGGGAAATGATCCCATGTGGCTTGGCCAATTTTTATCCTAAATCCAACATTACTGAAGATGGACATTATCTGATCAAATGACTGTTGGTGGGACCTTACTGTGTGCAAATTGGCTCTGTTTCCTACACTAAAACAACAACCGCACTTCAAAGGTATTTCATGGGCTGTAATGTACTTTGGGATGTCTTGATGTTGTGAACAGTTCTATATAAATCAAAGTTTCAATTTATTTTATTTACACCTAAAAATTTCCTTGTCACAAACAATGATTGCTTTTAATAAGAAAATGTTGTCCACTACATTCCAATATCCTAATTTTACTGAACTGAAAATGAAATCAACAGAAAAGATATCAAATCTTTCACTATTTACACTGGCATTACAGTTGTCAGTTGCTTAATAAATTTGATATTTACGAGTTTATAAAATGGGTCTATTAATCCTCTGAGAGGACCTTTCATTTTAAGAGCCTCACTGAAGGCCCATAAATGGATTCACTTGGTGAAATTAATACAAATGGGATATGGGCCAGTTTGATCAGAGAAGCCAATTTCTGGTGTGGTGTGTATAAACCATCAGAAGGATTTGCAGAAATTTGATATACACTGCATGTAACCTGCACTTGAAATGTTCCATTCTTTCCTGGGGGACTGTGTAATTTTGGTGAAACCAGCTCACGCTCATGGAGGTTACAGACCACTACTTTTACCACTGGTTCTGCCCCACTGCCCCCCTCTCCATCACTTCAGTACCTTCAGTTCGTTGTCCGTGATGGGATCCACCTTGCCTTTTGCCACCCACTGCCTTGGACAATCAATCTCTCTCATTTGTTCACAGGATGTAGGTACTGTTAGCTAGGCCAGCATTTATTGCCCATCCCTAATTGCCCAGTGGGCAGTTTAAAGTCAACCGCATTGCTGTGGATCTGGAGGCCAGACCGGGTAAGGGCACAGCAGATTTCCTTCCCTAAAGGATAATTGTGAACCAGGTGGATTTTTTTTTATTTAACGGTTGACAGCAGTTTCGCTGTCAACATTAGACTCTTAATTCCAGATTTTTATTGAATTCACATTCCATAATTTGCCATAAATTCAAAGAATCCCTACAGTAGAGAAAGAAGCCAGTTGGCTCAGGGGAGTTCATACCGATCCACCGAAGAGCACCCGACCCAGGCCCAGGCCCCCATCCTAACCCCACAACCCAGGTTAGCACGGCCAATCCACCTAGCCTGCACACCTTTGGACTGTGGGAGGAAACCCACACAGATAGGGGGAAGGATGTGCAAACTGCACACAGACAGTTGCCTGAGGGTGGAATCATCTGTGTTCCTGGTGCTGTAAGGCAGCGATGCTAACCACTGAGCCACCATAGATCATTGATCATAGAATCCCTACAGTGTGGAAACAGGCCATTCGGCCCAACAGGTCCACACCACCCCTCCGAAGAGCATCCCACCCAGACCCATTCCCCTAACCCTGCATTTCCCATGTCTAACAACACCTAACCTAAACATCCCTGGGCACTACAGGCAATTTAGCATGGCCACCCACCTAGCCTGCACATCTTTGAACAGTGGGATACGAACCCAAACCCCAGGCCCTTACCCCACCCCCAGAACATTAGATGACTCTCTAGGTTTAGATTAATAGTTTAGCCATCGTCTCCCCTTGTAATGATATCCTAGCGTTGCTCCCACGGTCAGTCTTATGCTGTGTCAATCTCACCTATGATCCTGGAAACAGTGTGTTTGGGAAAAATGCCACCAGCTGGGGGTGGGGAGGTAGAGAGGAAATTAGATTTGCAATTCATTAAAAAATTAATACACTTGGTGATTCCAAGTAAGTCTCTTACAACTATAGGGCCAAATGTTGCTGAAGATTTCTACAGAGCGGTTTGAAAATGTCCAGTCGGCAAAACTTGAGAATTGACAGAACATTATATTTCGATGCAAAGTCAGGAGTTTGTAATGTAGCCAACGAACAAACATGATTTTAATATTAAAAGCACTTACAAAGTGGGAAATGGAGCACAAGCCAGATGGTGAATTATGAAGGTAGACACAAAACTTTCTCTTCAGCGTTTGTTTGTTTCCAGGCATTATTAGGTCCCAGCAATCTTTTACAGATTTTTTTAAATCAACCTGATTGGATACACCTCTAGCATAGCTGGGACACGAACCTCCTGGCTCAGATGTGGGGACACTACCAATGCAGCACCAGGGCTGAAATAAATCCGATTAGAAGTTACAGATCC